GAAGTCATAAAGAAGAAGCAGGCGAACTTGCTCCTTAGTAAGAGGGTAGGGCTGGTTCATGGCTGGAGAGCACCAGGGCTGTAATAATATACGGTTGTATGCCGAAGGACACGACCTACTTATAAACACACGCAGAACATTCTAGCATGCTCTGGAAAAAAATTGTACTGGATATTCAAGAAATTCCGAGAACTTTCTTTCCAATCAGATAGTACTATAACTAGACATGCAGTCTGCAACTTGCAATACGAGTAGATCTACAATGGCAAACACAATGAACTCTCATTGGTCTGTAGAACTGTTACGTCGGAGGCTCCATTATCTTTCTTGTTGTGTTCCCTACTCAAAATTCAAATCCATTACGAGAAACTCTTATAAGTCCAGACTTGAATATAGAAAGGTCCATAATCATGTACCCATTCCCACATGATTACCAATTACGTACTCAAAGTAAATTCAATGTCACCATTCCAAATGCTGTCCATGTTTCCATGTTTCTAGCGTGGAGTGAGCAAAGATCCAGGTAGCATGTGGAATGGTGGTTCTAATGTCGCATTAGGTACTTGATTCATCATTATGCAACATCCTGTACTCAGGATATTGCATTGTACACGGAAAAGGGAACGATACTGGAGGTACTTCGTAGCTGCATATGGTCTATCCGGTTTGCAGGTGTACTCGGAGAATTTTCCACCACGCACTACTGAAACCTTTAAGTACTGTTTGTGATCTTTGGCGCAGGTTTTTTCCCGGCGTTGTTTGCTCGTCTTGCAGCAGCGAATGCAAGCTCAGTCTTCTCCGTAGTTTACTTACGCTTACCTGGAACGAGTTTATGCAATATTCCACGTAAGCAATAAAGTTTGACATAATGATGATATGATAAAATAGTGAAGAAATTGGCAAATCTCGTCTGAAAGAGTCCTAAATTAATCTAGAGTCATTTAGATTTTTTTCCGAAGGGAAGAGCGGACTCAATGCCCTGTCGCAGCAATGTTAACGTCAACCAGGAGTGGTTTATTGATGTGTCCATTTTGTGTCCATTACAGTGAATGCCTTTAATCCTTCATTATTTTCACTTAAACAACTTAAACAATCTTGCCCATAAACAAATTACTCATTACCAGCTCACGCAAAGTATCTAGTTGGAAGCCCGAAGTCTATGGTTAACGTCGTCGCTCTTTGAAGGAACGCAAACTTTTTTCTATACGGTAATAAAGAGCAAAGTATTACATCATGTAGTATATAATAATTATAAAGGATAGTGCATAAGCATAATTGTATACGCATCCTCCATTCTTCGTCTGAAACCAGGTCCTTTCTTCTCCAGACACATGCGCCAATTAAATGAATTTTGATTACCTTGAGGAGAGAAGACCAACTGGAATTCCATCGTTTCTATTCGCTTGATCGGATGAGAAATAAGCGTAAAATCGATTTCATTTCGATAGAAACTCCTGCCAGTTAGGCAGAGCCATCACACGCTGTCTATAACGGCGCCAAGGAGATTTCGCAAAATATTCAGCCTTTCTCGTGAATGACATGTGCTTTTAAGTAAATTGTTTCTTTTCCTTTTATTTGGATTGGGTGCAGAACTTCCAACATCGCAGCCAACGATCACGATGTGGCCGGACGTGCTGGCCACAACGTTGGACGGGGAACTCCCCCGAATTTATCATTTCAACTGTTCCTCGCCTTTCTCCAGTCCTCCCGCCAACCTCACCTTTTATCTCTATGACGATGAGGTAAGCCCAATTTCACCTTCGTTTGGCATGCGCGCATTCATGACTTCAGCGACGCTCAACTACGGTTCAAGGAAATGACAGACTTCTGAGTAACTGTAAAACATTGCATTTTCACACCATTCTTTCATCATCATCGCATCTCTGGAAATAAATACGCACACCCGGATGGAAAAGCCAAACTCACGCGCACTGTTGGGCAATATATTCAGTTTCAGCTCTTTATACCATTTCATCTCACCTCCGGAATTTCTCTTTGACTCCGCATACCGCAAAAGAATAATTCTGTAAACTTTCAACCTGTATTATTTGACAAAGAGTGGGTGAATTTTTTTTTCTCCAAGATGCATGTAGCCTTTAAATGCCATGTCCTTGTGGTATCGTACTTCGCAAATCGCAGCAACAACTCAGGAATTTTCGAACATACTGAAATAAACTTCTCAAAAAAAGAAAAGAAGCATCAAGGCGTAGAGCGATCCCTGATATCAATTATAGTTTAAAGAGCGCAGGGTGAATACTCACAGAGAAAAATTGCCCAACATTTAAATTTTAAAAGGAGCGGAGGGGGAGGAAACAGACGTGAGAAAACAATCCGAGGCAAAGAGAAACATGAATATTTATCAGCCAAAATCTTGATTCCAGTCGTTCCACGTTTGAGTTCCATACTCGATGTTTTTAACAATACTGCTCAGTTNCTAATATCTCCACACTATCACCCAGAACGAATTTATTGATGAAACAATGAACGGGAACTCTTCAAGTTGTATCGGAAAATCGAGCAAAGTTTCAAGGTCATAGGATGAGGTAATGCAGAGAAAACTTGCCAAACGCCCAAGGAAAGGAGGAAGAGGACGGCATCACTGACAACACCAGTCTTCCATTCTCACCAGTTCTCCTCTCTTCTCGAACCCCTTTGCAGTTGTGACGTTGTTGAATATCTGAATGCGAAACCTGAATGGGCAAAGCCTCGGTGGGCAATTTTATGTTCTTGTTCAAAAGCAATCGACGCAGGATAATTGGTATGTAGGCGTCATGCTGATGCATGCTAAGCATCCTAATTAGCGTATGTCGATGAAATGCTCCAACAAGTTGGTGAAATAGCCTTTCGGTTTGGGTTTCGCTCTTAGACGCTCAACAATGGTCCGATAGCGAAAATGCTTGATGAAAAAGGAAACTGGTGTCATGGGCGCCGCACTCTTCCTCAATTCCTGGGGCGTTCGGCAAGTTTTCTTTGCATTACCTCACCCAATGAACTTGAAACTTTTCTCGATTTCCTGGGACATCTTCAAGAGCTCGCGTTCCACATTTCACCAATACACTCTCTTCTGGGGGATCGTTTTGGTCTCCTGCTCTCATTTAATTTGGGTTTTTGCCAAGTTATCTTCGCGAATATTAATTCCACACCCTTGAAACTCTAATCGATAACGTGACTCTGCTACGAGCTCGAATCTAATTTCAATTTCTCTCAATCCCTTTTTATGGTTTTTTTTTTTTTGGAGGGAAGTTGCTTCGTAAGCTCCACACACTCCAGCAATATACGTCCATCAGCTTCCACTTTCAAGCGATAACGGCGCTTACACCCTAAAGACCTCCATTTATATATATCCAACCGAAATAAAGCTTAAGCTCTTCGTCCCTCTCCGTGGCTTTCTCCGCCCTACCTGCCATTTTCGCAATACCCTAATAAATGTATGGAACTCAGAGCTACTTCAATAATTCATACTGTCTCCGAAATTCAATATCCCTGCTTCTTTTTCTTTTTTCTGGATAAACTATGTCTCCCGTGGGACACATCTCAAAGCCAATTTCGCTCAGCAAGTTCAGCACGCACAGCCCCAAGCAGTTCTATTCTTCCTGGGCACATTTCTTAGAGTTAATAGTTAATAGTTCATAGTTCTTTGAATTCATAGAGCAATTGTATACATTTTTCCCCACATGCATTGTCAAGCTCTTAATTTTCGTAAATCCATATACGCTTCAAATGGGACCTTCCCTAACTAGCAAGGAGTTTCGATTACAAAATTATTTCATTTTTTTTTTAAATATCGATGGTGATATGAGCTTCAGTCATTTTCATTTGAGCCATGCCAGAGAATCATGACTCATCAGCTGGCTTCATGAACGCGCCCATTAACAGATATTTGATAAGTAGAGTCTCGTCTATTCTTAACAAAGAGCTTTTGAACTGAGGGAGAGAAGGGTACCTCAGGGTATCTACCGCTTTCATAGTCTGCCGTGGTTTTCTTCCCACAACTAAAATATTCAGGTATGTCGTCAATAGATTCGGGGGCGATGGGAGCGCGTGCCTTGTTCTTTACTGATTGATCAGCGGTTCAGAACATTTATTGCGTGGGATGAAAATGAGCCCTGACGACGTTCATTGGAGCTGGGGAATTCTAAGAGCTGGGGAATTTTCTTACCCAGAAAATTCCAATAAAACATCTGGTGAAATCCTCTGTGACTTTAACATGCTAACGGAATGCCAGCAAGTTGTACAGTCCAGCATTTGCTGGGCCATATGACCAGTCGGCATTCCGTATGCACGTGTGAGTAGAACGACCTTGACCTCACAGAAAAGAAAGGTAAAACGGGTATTGGCAGTTAACGTTTTGAAATTCCGGTGCCCCAAGCAATTCATGAGACGGTCATATATACGTATCTGCGAGCATCTCCTGCAGAATTATGTTCACCGCCTACCACATAGATGAATTCTCGGATTTTTGCAAGTGCATTCAAATGCCCCCCCACCAATCTACTGCTGGGAATGTGATGCAAGGTAACTGCGCAGAGAGAAATGACACGATATAATGTGTCATGAGAGAATTTAATCATATTGGTTGTGGCAAAATGTGTCACAAGGGTTGACACATTTCAACGCGTATACAAATGCAGTAAGATGTGTCAAATGACACACTGGAGCAGAGAATATCCCAATGGACTCACCCAATTGTGTCCCATGACACACTACAGTGTGGGTCCATTGACACGTCTGGATTATGGCCTGGCGACACGGAATAACGTGTCATGAGGCTGGGCACATTTAAATGTGCCTACTGATGTAGTAAGATGTGCCAAAAGACATGTTTCAGTACGTCAAAACTCATGACACATTATTCCGTGCCGCCCAGACGATCCAGGACCCACTTTTGTGCGTCATTTAACACACTGCTTTTTTTCTTTGTGGGGATTGGCAGGTACCGAGGAGGATGCTGATTCCCTACAAAGGAATGGTGGACTCAACGGGTCGACTCAAGACTTCGGTCCTGGGACTACGGGTCAGCAGCGACGAGGTCAAACTCGGTCGACTGGAAGTGAAGTGCGAGTCGAGCATCGATCAAATCTACACGCAGGCTTCCCACAAATACGTCAACCTTCTTCCAGAGGAGAAACCCAAGGAATCTCAAATGAAAAAGCAAAGACCTGCATCCAGCATCCCCTCCTACACTTCCCGACAAGGCAAGTTCTTCCTCTCATCTGTGTTTCGCGAGGACTTGAGGGGAGAGATCGATCACTCATTTCCGGGTTTCCGTTTCCAGGTGGGAGAGGAGATAGGATTCGTCCATGGTCAACGTGTATCTCCATGTTCCTGGCCGCTCTCCCCTTCTTAGTCACGAGATGATAGTCTTCCTTACTCTCCGCTTGGAATGAAGACGAGAAAGACTGATGATTGCTCTTTTTTTTTCATAACTGAGCAGTATTGTTAAAAACATCGAGTATGGAACTCAAACGTGGAACGACTGGAATCAAGATTTTGGCTGATAAATATTCATGTTTCTCTTTGCCTCGGATTGTTTTCTCACGTCTGTTTCCTCGCCTGCTATTTTCAACACCCAAAACTATTAATCAATGTGGTCGTCAACCACAGAGAGCATGGGCGTGGCCATAATCACGGGACATGGTAGTGACATAATTGATAAAAGGACATGTGAGGGATCGATTCCTTGCAAGGTTGCAGGGAGAAAAAAAAAACCCTGCGCATGACTCCCAACACACGTTGCAGCGATGCATAAGGACGAGAAAGCAAAAAAAAAATCAGAGGCTAAGGCAAAGAAGTCAACGCAATGATGGAATGCTTTTTGATTGAATTCGTCCGCTCTTTCTCCCGCCCCCCCCATTTTAGGAGGCGTATAATAGAAGAGGGATCATTAAACCAAAAATAACGGTAATCAATCCGCATTAGGGAACATTGGATGAAAGGTGTTCCGCGCTCGCCTGTCTTGAGTTTCAGTTTGATCAAAACGTTAAGCTCACACTACAAATAGGTACGGTTGGCAAAGAATCCCGCACGCTTATCAAGGTCCACTACCCTGTGTCCATCGAAGTCTTTTTATAACTGCCGAGAAAGCGAAAAATAATGTTAAGTCGATTCAATCATTTCATGGTCATACGCAATAGCCTGTTGTGGACCAAGAAAAACAAGAAATACGTATAAAGACACGAAGATACGTATGAAAACACAATGAACTCCGCCTTCACGTTTCGTGACTTATCGGCAGAAGGACGCTATTTTGACTTCCAACTTTCTGAAAGATCCGTTAGGATCATCGCAATAAAAACTTTACTCGAGCTCCAAATTGCGACATGAAGAAGCCTGATGCTGGGCCTCCCAGCATCAGGCTTCTTTAATCTGCTACTCTGTCTCGACGAAGCTCGGAAACCCCATATCCATGTCAGAGAGACGAGACGGTGCACTTGCCTCGCTTTTGAGACGCGAATCCTTTTCGCCGAAATGACTAGGAGAAATGAGGAGAGTGGGAGGAGAGAAGGAGGAAGGGGGTGGGGGACGAGACAATTTCCTGTCTCCCTGTAGATTAAGATTACAAAAGCCAGATAGCGAGATTCTCAGGCTTCGGTATACGCCAGAACATTGATGCTTCTCCCTGTTACACCACAAGCTGCGTCGACATAAGATCAACAGCATAAAAAGAATAGGCCGCGTAGGCCAATCGAGAAGTTCGAAGAGTGACTAAAGAAAAGTGGAGACACGCAGATCATATCCCTTCTAATTGACCAGCGAGAACTGTCGGTTTCGATACTTTTGATTCTCCAAACTGATCCATTCATATCATGGCACATAATGCATCTTCAATCAATGAGGGCCTCAAAACCTGGATGGTGTCTGTATATTTCACAAGATACCCAATGCGGGTAGAGCGAAGGCTCAACCCACACTGGGCTCGCATCGCAGTCTGCCACGAGAATCGACCCAATGTCGTCCCGTACTGTTTTCATGTCTGCTTCTCCACAGGGGGAAAAACGCGGCAAAGCAGGGCAAAGGGGCAGAAAATCTTCCTCCTTGCCCACGCTGGTTCAATAAATTACTTGATGGGGAATATCCGCCAACTTCCGACCAAGCATTTCTGTCTTTTCCTATCTGATTAGCTGTCACGCGGGTTCCTGCACATGACTTTCATCGTTTTTTCCAGGGTCAATCGGTGAACCAGCTTCTTACTGAATCGCTTTTGACAGCTGGGATAGGAATACGTATTTTCGAGGCCTCTCCCGGGGACGGCATGCCGAATTTCTTCTGCTAATAGAACATTCCAGAGATTCTGATGCGGAAGGGTGAAGGGCGGAAAGGGTATAAGAGGGGAAGGGGTTCAATGCATACAGCTGGTGCAGTTTTTTCTTCGCTTGATGTGAACACTTGGGAAAAAAGTGGGTAGGGACTATATGTAATAAAATAAATTATAAATATAAATGGTAAATTTTAAGTTTTAGACACAGCTCTGACGCATTCATGAGAACGAAGTAAAACAAAGTAAACGAGCAAGGAAAAAAAAAGAATTGAATGCTAAAAATTGATTAAAATTATGAACGAGAACTAGTAGCATGAAATATTGCGACATCCTGATATGAATACAGGCATTTGGTATATGAAGAGACTTCCTAGCAGAACCCAATTGAGGGAGAAGCTCTTCCTCATTAAATTATAGCATCATTAGAGGGATATCCTGGTCTTTGCAAGCAATTCACGCCTCGGCATTAGGGAGATAAGCGCTGAAAGAGAGGAAATCCCCCGCTAGGAACGAAGGGAAGCCCCCCTTTGTAAAAAATAAATCAAGTGCAAAAAGCCTCGCGGTTATGAAGAGAATCCTCGAAGAAGAGCAGATCGATCGAGGAAAGTTGATCAGAGGAAGAAGAGGAAAAAGAGGAAACAGGGAATATATGGAGTGTTGTGTCGTTTTCGAGTGGAAAAGCAATTGGATGGATGGCTGGAAGAGATGATGGATGAAGTTGGCTATTTCCGGGGGGGATTGAGGCGATGCAGATCCACCAGCTAAGACGTCATATTTCACGATCTGTTTCCCATTATGTGGGGGGGGGGTTCGTAATGGCATTACGTCCCCGAGCCTGGATGATGTGATAGCGGCTTCATGGGCTGAGAAGAGCCCCCCATTTATAAATTAATACAGCTCCATGTCAAGATCGCAGTCTCTGCTCCTTTTTCAAGAGAAAGCAAGGTTGTAATTATTAATACGCATTCATGCATGCAGGTGATTTGCATATATTCAGGGTGAGGGTGAAAGCCCCCCTTGAGGAAAGTGTCCCATCCTCGAAAGGGGAAAGAAAAAAAAAATCTATTTCGGGTCAGATGCCGAGAGGCGTGAATACAACCTCATTGCAGCATGAAACTCATCTCATGAAACGGGATTCGCAGAGCAACAAGGCCTTTTCTCAGATGACAGCCGCAGATAATGTCAGAGGCTTTTCCCTCTCTTGCATTCCGGAAGGAACAAAGAACGACGCCTTTATTGGGACCGCAGCGGTTTTTTTTTGTCTTTATTTTTTTTTTTTTACAACCCAACTATCAAATCCCACATGCACGTAAAGGATCCTTTCTCTTTTCACACTATCTTTCATCTTTCATTTCGTATGGCTCGTTCATTCTCGCTCGCGATAAAGAAATAGAAAAAAAAATCATCTCAGCAGGGCTGGGAAATTGGTCTCATCAATATCGAACGCATGATTCCTAGGGGAAAAGAATCTTCGAGTAGGACATTTTTCACTAGTAATCTACCCTCTTTTCTCTTCTTCGTCTGGATGATATCATTGTGAAGAGGAAAAGAGAGAGAAAATAGGAGAGAGGCGAGGTTGTGGGGCCGGGCTCATCCATCAAGGGTGAGCAGGGCCAGAAATAAAGTGTCAGATCCGCCCACCATGATACATGGGCCGGCTTATCTCCGACACATTTGTCTGCACTCATCTGCAACTCTCCGACTTCCCCCCCCCCCCCCCATATAAAATCCCCGCCAAGGTGGTGACATGGGCAGTGGAGGGGAAACATCGCCCTGAAAGGGCACCGATCATCGAATCGGGAGAGTGAAAGGGAAGTCACATTAATAACGCTAAATGATAACGAATGTCGGTTTCTCAATTTGTTCGTACGGGGACATAAAGTTGTTTCAATTAGAGAGAAGAGTGACCCAGAAAATTTCATCGAAAGCCTAGGGGTATTTACGGGCCATGGGTTTTCATGACCTTTCACTGAATGGCCTTCATCGGAAAGGAAACGAGGTTCCCGCCTTTCTTCCGGCGAACATTCCAAAATGCACGGCACTGCAGTAAGCCTCTTTTGGCTCATGCCTTTTGGCACAGTCCTTTTTTGGCACAATCCTTTTTTGGCACGTGGGCCAGGCCCATCACGCTATAATTTTTGCTCCATGTGCTCACAAGTGACCTCCCGATGAATCTGGCCATATTTTTCACTCCTCGGAATATGCAGTACCGGCGCACTATTGTAATTCGGCCCAATAAAATCCTGCTGCAGAAGCCAAATTTCACCTAGATTCCCAAAAAGGCCTGATGGTAATTTTATCGTTTCAGGGAATGCCGAGCAATGACTGGAGTTTCTTACCCTCAGGCGAGCAATAAACTGAAAATAATGGCTCCTCTATCTGTGTCACTAGGCGACATTCCACGAAAAGCCAAGGCATTTAATGAAGCAACGGGTATTGCCCTTAGCCGACCACATATACATCGATATTCCGTCGAGTACATTGGAATTGATGGTACACTACGTCCCTCTGCAGGTGCGATTACGAAAACACTACACCGCCTTACGTGACTTTCTCCAGTGGTTTTTTTTCCGACATCTGCAACATGAAGAAAGCATGTGAAATTTGAGTATTACAAGAAAATTGTGGTAGGAGGTTCCATTTCCATGACAGAGAGTGGGGATAGTGAAAAAAGGAAAAACAAAGGACAAGATAAAAGGGAGAGAGTGAGAGAAGTGGAATGAGAAGGAAAGAGAAAGAGGGGGGGGGGGGCAGAGAGAGGGAAGAAGACCCGCAAAGCGCGGATGTCTCCAGGCACAATCTTCGTCCCAGGGCGTCGTTCAAGGTCTTATAATGAGTGGACACATTCCCCGTCTCCTCCCCCCCCCCCTTTTTTAAAAATGTATATGAGTGTCCATACAGTAGAACGCCCTATGGGCAATTTCATTTGATTGACATTGATCATTTCCATACTCCCGAGTAGCATTCGCTACTGCCTGCGAAGTCTTGTTTATAAACGACTTTTCACATGTACACCGTCCGACATAATCACACGAAGCATTTCATTTCCTATTATTAAGTTCATCCCCCGTTTATGATAGTTTTCTCTC